CCCCCTTGTGTGACGACTGATTGATGAACTGGTTGATTGATTGATTGATTGACTGACGGATTGAGTGCCCGCCCGCCCGCACTATCAAGACTACCGTAGGTACCACCGCTCCGCAGTAGCAGCAACAACAACAACAACACAGTTATCGTTGTCTGTCTTCTTCCACTTACTAATTTATTCTCCTCCATCCTTAACTATTGTACCTTATCGTACAACGATCTCTTCCCTCTTCTACTCCTCCTTTTTCTTCAAATTTCCTTTTTAAGTTCTCTTTTCTCTTTTCTCTTTTCTCTTTTCTCTTTTCTCTTTTCTTTTCTCGTCTCGGTTTTTTCCACACTTTAAATCTCACCGACTCTAACTTCCCTCCCGTTGGATCGTGCATGATCCGCGGATGATTATGTGTGTCTGCGATTCCACTCTGGCGCCAGACACTCGCCGTTGGGGTTAATCGTCCGTTTGCCATCGTGCGCGTCGACAAGCCAAATCTCCAAGGACAATGGCTAGTCAAGTGATGGCAGATGTATTGCACCAGTTGCTCCGTATGTGTCCCTCAATTTGATTGCGTCTCGATCGGGGGTTTCCAATTCCCCCTTCTGCGGAAGAGCTATTCCTCCCGACCATCTCAGGCGCGCCCATCATAGGCACGATGGCTGACTAGAATTTATGTATCCTAGGTAGAGCGGTGGACTCTGACACAGATCCCGACGATGGTACGCGATGCGATTTTGCTCACAAAGACCACACCCTGTGTCTCGCAGCCCCAAAACTGACATGCCTATTCTTCAGCTGATGCTCCCGAGGCCGGCACCAAGGAGTTCTTCAGCTCCTGGGCGCTCTTCATCCTGATCATGCTGTTGATGTTCGCGCTCTTCACCAGTTACATACTACAACAGAAAAAGATCCAGGCGGTCCATGAAACAGTCCTGTCCATCTTCGCGGGTGTGTTTGTCCAACCATCAAGGGCGGATGTGGGCCGCAATGCGGTGCCCTTGCGATTCATAACAAAGGCTGATGGACGCATACAGGCATGTTTGTCGGGTTGATTATACGCTTAAGCCCCGAATCACCGATTCAAGACAGTGTCGCGTTTGACTATCAATTCTTCTTCAACCTCCTCCTACCTCCGATCATTCTGGCCTCAGGCTACGAGTTACACCAAGCAAACTTCTTCCGAAACATCGGTACTATCCTGACCTTTGCGTTTGCGGGGACCTTCATTTCCGCCATCGTGCTGGGTCTGATTCTGTTTGTCTGGACGAGAATTCCGTTGGATGGGCTAGATATGACCTTCGTCGAGGCGATCTCGGTGGGCGCTACGTTATCGGCGACGGATCCCGTTACCATCTTGGCCATCTTCAACCTATACAAGGTCGAGCCCAAGCTCTATACGGTCATTTTCGGTGAATCAATCCTGAATGACGCCATCGCGATCGTCCTGTTCGAGACCGCGCAGAAGTATGCCGATAGTGAGGCGGGCTCTCTGACTTTCTTGAACCTATTTGAGGCTATTGGGCTGTTCTTGCTCGTCTTCTTCGGAAGTATGATTGTCGGCGTTATCGTTGGCATCATGACTGCCCTTGGTCTGAAATATACTCATGTCAGACGCCAGCCGAAGATTGAAAGCTGTCTGATCGTGCTTATTGCCTACGCCAGCTACTTCTTCTCTAACGGTGTCTACCTCTCCGGTAGGTTGCATTTCCTCATTGTTCTGGAGTCAGGCTGACAATAGACCAGGTATTGTATCTCTCCTGTTCTGCGGCATTACCATGAAACATTATGCGTACTACAACATGTCCCGCCGGACGCAGTTGACGACGAAGTACCTCTTCCAAGTGATGGCACAATTATCCGAGAACTTTATCTTCATATACCTTGGGTTGGACCTTCTTGTCCAGAGGAATTTACAGTTCAAGCCCTTATTCATTCTTGTGGCCGTTTTCGGTATCTGTATAGCCCGCTACCTGGCGGTGTTCCCATTGTCTCGAGCGATCAATTGGTTCATTCGGTACAGAGCCCGTCGCCGTGGCATGGACGTTGCAGATGAGCTACCTTTTGCTTATCAAGCCATGCTCTTCTGGGCGGGCTTGCGTGGAGCTGTTGGTGTGGCCCTAGCCGCCGGCCTAAAAGGTGTCAATGCTCCAGCACTCCGTGCTACGGTACTTGTGGTCGTCGTGCTGACCGTGATTATCTTTGGTGGTACCACCGCTCGAATGCTGGAGATTCTCGGGATCCGGACCGGTGTTGTGGAGGAAATTGAGTCAGATGATGAGTTTGATATCGAGGTGACCAATGGCGGCACATATTATAAACGCTCTGACACAGGCTTGGGATACACTCCTCGCCGCATTGATTCGACCATTCCTTTGGATGGCATTCCGCGGGGCGAGCTCGACCGCCACGATAGCTACTCCAGTGGTAACAACCGTCGTCCCAGTCCTCCGCCGTCTGGCTCTCGAGGACATTCCCGAATGTACTCGAATGCCTACAGTCAGCGAGACACCGCTCGTGACCGTTCCTCAACAGCTACTTTGTTGGGTGGCCGGCCTCGGAGCCACAGCGAGAGCAGCGCGGCAAGCGAGGATGAATTTGGATTGAAGAATAATGGCAAGGCTCGTGCAACAGATGCCGATCAGCTCGATGCCTTCGATCTCGATGTAGGTGATGAGCCCTCGGATGACGACCTTCCCCCTTCAGCTCCTACGTCTCGACTGCGGCGGTCTCCCTCGCAACCCCAACAGTATTTGGGAGGGTCCCAGGACCAAACCCCGGCCAATACCTCTCCTATGCGACGCGAGACAACATTGAGCGCAAGGGCGGCGATCCGGGACCTCTTCTCAGGGGCATCGGGAGACCACGCGGCGTGGTTCCGACAGCTGGACGAAGATTACATCAAACCCCGACTTCTTTTAGATCAGTCCAATCACAAGGGCCCTGGTGCAGTCTGAATGAAGTGACTTCTATGCGTAGCTGCCGCTATTGCCATTGATTCCGGCGTCGCCTGTATATATGTGCTATATATTGGGTGCAGTCTACCGGTGTGTTTGTTATTCGCTCGTGCCTCTTCGATCTGATTTTGTTTGCCCTCCCTTTTTCTTTTAACTTTCCCATTGGCATATCTGGGCTGGGTCTGGTTACCCCTTACCCCCGGGGAGGCCTCCAGCTATTGTTAGTACGCGAAGCGATGGGAGACGGAGACGGAGACTTGGTAGATGGAACAGTCACCTTCTACTACCACTACTACTACTACTACTACTACTACTACTACTACTACTACTACTACTACTACTACTACTACTACTACTACTACTACTACTACTACTACTACCACTACTTCCTGCCTAGATACCACTTCCTACTAGTTGAATTTCAAGAATGTTCGAACCATTAATTTATCCTCAGTAGTAGTAGTTGTTGATTGATTAGATGGGGTAATAACAAGAAGAGCGGGGGGGAACGGGAATTTGATTGTTATGTACTTCCGTACTCCGTATGATATGCCAGCCTAATTTCGTCTCTGGTGCTTCTGCTTCCACTTCTCCCTCCTCTTTCGCCCTCGTCCACTTTGCTCGTTCAGCGACGCTCCAGACGCACCACACGGGAGCTTATCGGTCCTTCAGGCTTTTACATTGGCCACTTCTCCCCTTGATCGGCCTCCCCCGTGATAAGGTGATGATAACAACGGCTTGGTGGTGGCTATGGCTGAACCTTGCCGGTTCGTGTCGCATGCGCCATTAGAGTCTGGGCTGCGGTGTGAATGGTCCCTGCCGGCCGTTGCTTATCGAAGAATAAAACCAATTGATGCAGTGATGCAGTGATGCAATGGGCAAGGGTTGGTTGGTATAAGTAGCGGTCCGTCTGCTCTGCGCTGTCGACCATTCGCAAATAACTATAGCCCATTCACTCGCTCGATTGATGTCCATAATTCTGTCACCATGGCGGAGAAGTTCCAGAACATGGACTTCATGTCTAAGGTTTCACCAGAAGTGGGCGAGGAGCCCTCGCTGGAACAAGGCGATATGCAGCTTCTAGGTACGCTTGCTTATCGTCTGTCTCGTGTGTCTATGCTGACGAGACCAGCGACACTAGGGTACAAGCAGGAGCTGCGCAGGCATTATTCGACCGTACAGGTCTTCGCAATTGCATTCAGTATCATGGGACTTTTGCCGTCGATCGCATCGACCTTATCGTATTCCATTCCTGCTGGACCTGTGGGTATGGTCTGGGTACGTCGCCCTTCTTGCTATGCTTACACGGGGGTTGCTTGGTACCTGACTAGATGAGGCTGGTGGCTAATGCATCGCAGGGTACGGTATCTCTTGTTTATTCGGTGCGATGTGCTCAAGGCAGTGGTTTGACAGGAATTCTAGGTTGGTTTGCTGCGAGTGTGTTCATCTTCATAGTGGCATTGGCTATGGTCTGCCTATCTCAGCTCTTTTGGTTCCTTTTATTCTGGTCGGACGCTTACAACTCTGTGTCAATTAGGCCGATCTAGCGTCTGCGATGCCCACTGCCGGTGGTCTATACTTCTGGACCCATTATTTCAGCGGAGAGAAATGGAAGAATCCCCTCAGCTTTGTCGTTGGATACAGCAATACAATCGGTCTCGTTGGAGGTGTCTGTTCTATAGGTTGTAAGCGGCGCCCCTCTTCCTCGTGAGATGCTTCTGCCTCGGACTGACTCGGAGGGTGAGATGGGTTTGCTACTATGCTGTTGGCTATTGTTTCCATTGCGCGCGATGGCGAATGGACTGCTTCCCGTCCGGCCCTTTACGGCACGTATGTCGCATGCGTCGTCGTGCACGGCCTGATTGCCATCTTCTTTGCGCGCGTGATGCCCAAAATCCAGTCTGTTTGCATCGTCCTCAACGTGGGCCTGGTCTTTGCCACTGCTCTCGCATTGCCGATTGGTAAGGCAGTACGCGGCGGGCAGATCAACTCGGGTGCCTACGTCTTCGGGCATGCTGAGAATCTCACCACTTGGCCCGAGGGCTGGAGCTTCATGATCGCGTGGTTGTCGCCCATCTGGACCATCGGGGCGTTTGACTCCTGTGTCCATATGAGTGAGGAGGCCACCCATGCTGCGCGGGCGGTACCACTGGGGATTGTCTGGTCCGCGGGCCTGTGTGGTCTGCTGGGATTTGTCTCGCTGGCGATAATGGCAGCTGTGATCGACGTCGATATAACGGCGGTCCTCGACTCCAAGTTCGGACAACCCATGGCACAGGTGGGTTCCTATTTATTCTGTCAATTCAGGCCGGGCTGATATTGAGCGATTGCGTCCTCCAGATCTACTATGACTCCCTCGGAAAAAGCGGCGCGCTCGGCTTCATGGTCGTGGTAGCAGTGGTCCAGTTCTTCATGGGCTTGAGTCTTGTGAGCTCAGTCACTCTCTTCCAGTACCGAACAAACGATCCGAAGCACATTGAACTGACCCCTAATCGCGGAACCTAAAATCAGGTGGTCGCAGCCTCCCGTCAGAGCTGGGCCTTCTCTCGCGACGGCGCCCTCCCTTTCTCCTTCTTCTTCCGCCACGTCAGTAAACGCATTCGGTTCGAACCCGTCCGGATGGTCTGCGCCGTGGTCGTGATCGCCATCATTCTTGGTCTGCTCTGTCTGATCGACAACGCTGCGGCCAGCGCGCTGTTCTCTCTAGCCGTGGCGGGCAACGATCTCGCCTGGATGGTCCCGATCCTGGCCCGGCTCGTCTGGGGCCAAGATCGGTTTTACCCCGGAGAGTTCTATACGGGCCGGCTGAGCAAGCCCATTGCAATCACCGCGATCGTGTATCTCGCTTTTGCTATCGTGCTGAGCATGTTTCCTACCGAGGGACCAGACCCAGCCCGTAAGTTGTGTCACTCATTCCTTCCGTCTTGGTTGGGTGTGGACGGGATTCCGCGCTGACTGCTGTTCCTGTGCGAAAACAGCTGCGAATATGAATTACACCATTGTCATCAATGGCACCCTGTGGCTTGGGGCGCTGCTTTACTATGCGGTCTATGCGCGTAAGGTGTACAAAGGTCCGCAGACGACCGTGGGGGAGTCAGCTAGTCCGTCCGAGACGAGGCTCCCGCAGGAAGCTGAGGGAGAGAAGGAGAAGAAGGGTAACACTGCTTGAGCCCTTTCTTTTCTTTCAATGGCTTGTAACCTATTTTCGAGAGAGTTCTGGCTCTTGTATTTCGGAGTAATTCAATAAAATCTCCGTGCTTGAACCGTTTATCATCGCACAAGGTACTGATAAGACAAGATGTAAGGGTCAAGATACTGTAAGCCGATTCAAGGGGCCAAAGGATCATTTAATTGGAGACTTGATTTGCAAACGCTGTGGTACATTACATCGTAGGACACCCCATTGACACCCGATGTGTTTAGCAATGCATGAGGGTGGGGAGGGGGCGACGGTTTAGAAATTAAGAGACAAATAGAAAGCAAAGGTAGATAGAGGGTCTTATCGTCGTCACCTTCGTAAAACGGATACTATCCCGGTCCAGCGAGAAAAGGATGCATTTACTCGGGGACTTCGAGGACATAGCGGCCAGCGATCTTGCCTTGTTCTGTTTTGGTGAGACGGTGTGTTAGTCCTGATTCTGCCGAGTGCAAGCAAAGAGGCGGAAGAGAGGCAGCATACCCATCAACTCGAAAATCTTGGGGAGATCCTTCAGGGGCGCCGTCTTGAAGGGGGCGTTGATCAGTCCGCGGGCGAAGAAGTCGACGGCCTCGACGCCATCCTGGCGGTTGCCGACGTAGCTGCCCTTGATGTTGACCATGCGGACGACGGTGTTAAAGACGGGGGCGCGGAGGAAGGCGTTGCCGGGCAGGCCGATGGCGACAACGCTGCCGCGCGAGCGCACGTACTCGGTCGCCTGCTGGAAGGGCTTCTCGGCCACGGCCAGGAGGATGACGGCGTGGGCGCCGAGACCCTCCGGGGTGGCGGCTTTGACGTCGGCGACGATGTCGCTGGAGGTGGTGAAGTCGATGTATGCCTGGTTTTTTTTATTGCTCGTTAGTTTTGTGTTTTTCTTTTGACAAGTTTTATCTTTCGTACCTCCGAGCCCAACTTCTGACACATCTCCTTCTTCTCCTCTCCGCCGTCGATGGCAATGGTGCGCAGTCCCATGGCCTTCGCGTACTGCAGCGCCAACGAGCCAAGCCCGCCGCCGGCCCCGACGATGGCGACGGTCTGGCCGGGCCGCACACCGGACTCCTTCAGGCCCTTGTAGACGGTGATGCCGGCGCAGAGGATCGGGGCGACGGCGTCCAGGGCCACCTCCTTGGGCAGCTTGGAGGCGTGGCTCGCCTTGGCCAGGGCGTACTGCTGGAAGGTGCCGTCGACGGTGTAGCCGGACAGCTCGGCGTGCGGGCACAGGGGCTCGTCCGCCTGCTTGCAGAACTCACAGGCCAGGCACGACCCGTTCAGCCACTTGATGCCCGCGTGGTCGCCGACCTCGAACTCCGTGACCAGGTCGCCGCGCGCCACCACGATCCCCGCCCCCTCGTGCCCGCCCACCAGCGGCTGCTTGAGCGGCAGCGGCCAGTCCCCCTTCATCGCGTGCAGGTCCGTGTGGCACACCCCCGTGTACCGGATCTTGACCAGGATCTGATCCGGGCCCGGCTTGCCGACGGGGATCTGCTTGTAGACTGGCGGGTGGCCTTTCTCTTCGACTACCTGGGCCCATTGGGTCGAGGGTATTTCGGGAGGGGAAGACATTTTCTTTGGTTGTTGTTGTTGGTGGTGGAGGTTGTGACTGGGGAAGGGTGAGGGGTTTGTGGGTGTAGATGTAGATGGAGATGTAGAAGTAGATAACGAGGTAAAGAGATTCTATGCTAAGATGCTGGGAAAGTAGATGTGAACGTGGAAAGAGAAGGGAAATGAAAGAGCGAGGGAGGACAGGATTTATAGGATTCTGGAGACAACAGGCAATGAGACCCTGAGAAACAACCAGGCCACCATTCACTTTTCTACTGATGGTTCGTTGTACGTACTCCAGGCTGGAAGTAGGACAGGTGAGTGAATGAATGAATGGCGGGTGGGGTGATTCCCTCCCGGCCGAAGCGATCAAAGTGACGTCGTGATTCTTAGTGGTGTGCTGTTGACAGAAAGCACAGTCCAGACAATCGGACGAGAGGAGCAACACGGATGCGGAGGTTGTACATCCTGGGATCCCGATCCTTGTGGTCTTGCTCATCCCAGGGTGAGGGCGATACGAGGAGATCATTTCCCGAGTATCTCCTGTACGGTCTGTTACCTCCGGTCTCTCTCTCTCTCTCTCTCTCCCCTGGCGATACTCGGTGGTTGCATATTTCATTGACTTCATACTTCACGCTGTTTTCGGATTATGTCAATTATCTTTTTGGGGGGGATCCAGTTCAAATAAAAAAAGGTGGAACATGTAGACGTCATCAGCAATTGATCGAGATTTGTCTCCGCATCTCAACTGTGACTGAGAGCATTATCAGACCCCGATATTGCATTAGGTCAGATTTCCCTTCCCCTCGTCGGCCCCTCCGTTCGTGGTCTTCGCCTAAGTTGGATCTCTCCCCCACGCTGCTTGGCTCTTGTTTCATGTTCAAGATTTCGGCTTTTGGAAGGAAACCCCCCAGGAACATCGTGGGATGCACCTGTCCCTCTCCCTTTTGGGAAAATGTCCACCTCCGGGACAGTTTGGGCGGGGAGATCGCATTGCCGTGGATTGACCCATCACCGGAATCGGTTCATGCTTACCTAACCTAAGTAGTTAGTCAGGTCAGGGCTGTCAGTGCCAGGAGGCTGGTGGATTATGGACGAAGATGGAGTAAGTAATTAGTGGCTATTTTATTTGAAAGCACATCACTACGAGCCCTCATCTTATATACCTGGACTTGCCACGGATTGAGGACCTCCTGGGCAGCCACCCGACTTGATATCATTCTTGGCTCGGTGCGGAGTACCTATACAGACAAACGAACTGCTGAATCAGGCCTCTATTTATGCTGTGTCTGTTTGTCAATGCCTTCTTGAAGACATTCCGTGTTATACTGTACAAGTTCCCCATTCTCCGTGCTAAATCTCCCCCTCACAAACATATTCTCTCTATGTAGCTCGCCGTATGCGCGCAATGTTGGATGTCATGCAGCCGCTGTTTGCTCCCGAAATTCCGATGACTGACTTGCTGCCAATAGGTAAATTTCAATCTTTTGAGATTGGTAGAGGTTCATGTTTGATGTTCCATATGCATCTCTGATCGAACCTCGTGGACAATGAATGTACTGCATCTAGAGAACATTGAGGTGAACGTCTGGGCGGTTTCGTACTGGTATCAGGACAGCCTTTCCTTACAATGACTTGAAGCGATGGACACGGCGAGACCGCAGCGGGATGGCGAGACCCAACCTCAAAAGGTTTCTTCTTTCTCGCCTGGAATGTGTGGTACTTGTCATGGTGAATGCGTGGAAGACAAGTTCTAACAGAAACTCCATGGCTCCATGTCAGACTGACTTCAATTTGAATCTCAATCATATATCGCATATAGCGGCGTTATGCGGAGCCTGGGCGTAGTTCCTGAGTTGTCGTCCCCACAAGTTGAAAATAGTTACTAGTGGTAAGTTATGTAACTTGGGGTAAGTGAAATACGCATACTGACGCAGACTGACACCCGAAAGCCACAGCCGGCGGGTATGGAAGGGAAATCCACCCGAATAGGCAGGAACGAGCCCATCCCGCCGCGGTCTGTCACTCACTTACTTTTCACTCTCTGGAGACGAGGTTTTGGCTCAATGAAGCTGAAAAAAGAGAGTCAGAGAAAGGCTATTGTGCTATTGTTGCAATCATCCACCACAACAGCCTCTTCTCTCATCTATCCCAAATTAATTCCTTCCTCCCCCTTCATTCACTGGCTGAGTTCACTCCTTTCTAAGTATACACTTCCATATACATACATACAATACACACCACCACCACCTCCTCCTCCACCAGTCCTTCTATCTTCCTATCTAGACGGCTATCACCACCAAGCCTCCTACCACGGGAACAAACTGGCGAGATTTCGCCCCTCGTGGGTCTCCTTCACGGCTCATTGCAGCTGGTCTTTATCCCTCAGAACCACAACCCCCAGCATCATCGCTCTACCGGTTCTGGTCATCTATTCAGTTGAATTCACAGTTGACTTCTGTTGTCTGGAACGGTTGAGCCGTGAGGGTTTGTTGGCTGGCTCGCTCGCTCGCTCCTCTTCGTCTTCCCTCCCTCCCTCACCAAGAAACCCTCCTCCTCCTCCTCCAGCAACCGCTGATAGATTCCTGCTCATCCGGTAAGGCAATCAATCCTCTCTTTATCCGCTCATTTTCTTCATCCTTCTTTTCCCTTTTTTAATCATCATCGTCGTCTTCATCATCCCAACCACCCCCCCATCATCTTTTCCCCCCATCGTCATCTCCATCTCCATGCTTCCCTGTCCTCTTGTCTCCACTCCTCCCCCCAAGTCGGCCACTCAGATTTAATCCCTTTTCACGCAGGGAACTCTAGCTGGACGGCGAACAACTAACGGACGGACGCGTGATCGCCCTTCACCTCGAGATCTCCGTGAGCTAAAACCTCTCCAAGACCACCCTCCTCCCCATCCCCTTCGCGCATGGCCAGCCTTCATCCATCGCGACGGTCCTTGTTCTAAATATCCTCATCCTCTCCCCTCCCCATCACTGCTGTCCGTCACCTTCGCCGCCGCGTCTACTCCTCCGGCACAACGCGGCAATCATGACGGGAGCTCCGCCGTACAATCCTCAATCTCCTACCCAGCAATCTCGTTATTCTGCATATTCTTCTCCGAGCAAGAACCGTCCCTACTACCCCAACAACAATGACCAATATCAACAGCACCCGCCGCAGACGCCGCCGGCCTTCCCCCCTCAGCCCAGCATGGCCAGGAGCCCTCACTTCTCCCATGCGCCGTCTCCGTTACCGGCCACGCTGCCTCCGTTGAATGGCGCCGCTCCTTCATCTCATCCATCGGATACATCATCACAGTATCAGGCCCATTCCTCGGCTGGAACGCCGCAGTTCCCCCTGCCTCGGCCCTACTCTAATTCCGTCTTGTCGGGCAACGGCGCGACCCCCTACGGTCATTCTACTCCCTCCCACGCTCATCCCTCTGGTCGGCCCGACAGCCATTCGCAAATTTCTCCCAAAAAAGAGTCTGAATCTCCTTACCCCATGGGGGGCCACGGAGTCGCGCCGTATCCATCTTCCATGATGCGAGAGTCTAGGCATTCTTCTCCTCCCAAGGAAACCGTACGTTGTTGTTTTTTTCCCCCTCTCCTGCATGTTCCTTGGTCCACAATAGCTGATCGTGATCACTTCTCTTGCGGCCTCCAGAAACCAGATCCCATGTCGTTTGCGAGCATCTTGGCTGGACCAGCAGAAGAGCGCAACCCGCCTTCCCGACAATCTCCACCGAAGAAACAGCCGTCCCTTGAACCCGCAGCAACCCCCATCGCGCCAGCACCAAGCGCGACGGACAATCTGAACCCACCGTCGACGACGCCCATCCCGGCCGCTCGCAGCAAAAGCAAAGACAGAGAGCCCTCTGGCCCGGCCTTACCGCGATTAGAAAAGAAACCCGCCAATGAGAAGCGCCGTCGCAACGTCGACCACGAGCCCAGAGTGTCCGACTCACGGTCTTCCACCGTCGCGAATGGCCTTTCTGAGTCAACGAAAGCCTCCTCGTCGTCCCGCGGCGCTGCCTCTCGCCACCCCTTGACAGAAGGGGAGGTGGAAGCTCTCAACCGCGCGATGGTCGATATGGCAAACGCAGATAAAAGTGATGTGGAAGGCCCTGGGTATGAGAGACAGTACCAGGAATACAAGGCCAAAAGCAAGAAGCGTGCCCTTCTCACCGAGCAAACGGAGTTGATTCGGCGCAAGGTTCGTGAAATATGCGTTCTTCGTGATCACTTTGCAGGCTAACATACTTTTAGCGACGACGTCATCAGTTCTTGGGAGATCTCGCAAAGTCCCTGGAGAAGCAAGCCGATGCCGGAATGGGTCGATTCCGACTCACGAACGAGGCATCCGTTATCGCTGAAGTACAAGCTAAAGAGATCCAGGACGAAAAAGAACGCAAGAAGGACATGCAGCGGAAGCGGCGACGTGAGAATACCGTGCGCATGGAAATGCAGAAGAAACTGGAGGCAGAGCTCAAAGCAAATGAGGCCCAGGATTCTGCCGAGAAGGCCAAGTTCCTCCGTGAAGCCGAGAGAGCTCAGCGCAAGATCAAGACTACCAAGAGAGCTCTGGAGGGTGTTACTGCCCCCGAAGAGATTAGCGAAGTGACTCCCTTGGCGCCAAACCTTGAAGGGGGCACCACCAGTTCTTTCCACATCGGTCGGAACTCTCCTTCGAGGCGCAAGTCTGGACGCAATGGCCCCGTCACGCGACCCAAAAAGTCCAAGGAACAGAAACAAGCTGAAAAGGACGCGGCAGAAGCAGCGTATGCAGCCATGGAGAACGATGAGGCATTGCCTGTGGCACCCAAGGAAGACCCCCGTAAGGAGTCCATCAAGAAGGAGACCAAAGGCAACCGATCCAAGGAGCCCACGCCCACGCCGCTCTCCGCCTTCGAGACCAAGGGCTACAACCAGATTTACGAGCAGATCTGGCGCGATATTGCTCGTAAAGATATCCCCAAGGTCTACCGCATCAAGGGTCTGTCTCTCAGCACGCGCCAGGAAAACCTCCGCAAGACAGCCCAACTGGCTAGCAAGCAATCTCGCAAGTGGCAGGAACGCACCAACAAGAGCATGAAAGACACTCAGGCCCGTGCCAAACGGACAATGCGTGAAATGATGTCCTTCTGGAAGCGCAACGAACGTGAGGAACGTGATTTGCGTCGTCTTGCCGAAAAGCAGGAGATCGAGTCTGCTAAGAAGGCGGAAGCGGAGCGTGAAGCCAATCGTCAGAGACGTAAGCTCAACTTCCTTATCTCTCAGACCGAGCTGTACTCCCACTTCATTGGCCGCAAGATCAAAGGTGCAGAAGGAGACGAGTCCGGGGACACGGCCGTGGATGGAACCGACCAGACAGTCCAGCCTGGGAAACCTCAAGACCACACGGTGGATATGCCTCCCAGTGTCGCCGACCTTGGTGCCAAGGTCACCAACTTCGAAGATCTTGACTTTGACGCCGAGGATGAGACGGCCTTGCGGCAGGCGGCCATGGCCAACGCTCAAAATGCCGTTCAACAGGCTCAAGATCGAGCCCGTGCCTTCAACAACGACCAGAACCAGATGGATGCGTTGGATGAGGGTGAACTGAACTTCCAGAACCCTACCAGCTTGGGTGATATCGAGATCTCTCAGCCCAACATGCTTACCGCTAAGCTGAAGGAGTACCAGCTCAAGGGTCTTAACTGGCTTGTCAACCTGTACGAGCAAGGTATCAACGGTATCTTGGCCGACGAGATGGGTCTAGGAAAGACTATTCAGTCTATCTCAGTCATGGCTTACCTCGCTGAAGTCCACAATATCTGGGGTCCGTTCCTTGTCATTGCGCCAGCGTCCACGCTGCACAACTGGCAACAGGAAATCACCAAGTTCGTCCCGGACATTAAGGTTCTTCCGTACTGGGGCTCAGCCAAAGACCGCAAGATCCTCCGTAAGTTCTGGGATCGAAAGCATATCACATATACAAAAGAGTCTGAGTTCCATGTGTTGGTCACCTCATATCAGTTGGTGGTTCTGGATGCACAGTACTTCCAAAAGGTCAAGTGGCAGTACATGATTCTGGATGAAGCCCAGGCCATTAAGTCCTCTCAGAGTTCCCGTTGGAAGAACTTGCTCGGTTTCTCCTGCCGTAACCGACTTCTCCTGACAGGTACTCCTATTCAGAACAACATGCAGGAGCTGTGGGCCCTTCTGCACTTTATCATGCCCACGTTGTTCGACTCTCACGATGAATTCAGCGAATGGTTCTCCAAGGACATTGAATCCCATGCTCAGAGTAACACGAAACTCAACGAGGACCAGCTGAGACGTCTCCACATGATTCTAAAGCCTTTTATGCTTCGCCGTGTCAAGAAGCATGTTCAGCAGGAACTTGGGGATAAGGTCGAGAAGGACATCTTTTGCGACCTTACGTACCGCCAGCGCGCTTACTATACCAACTTGCGCAACCGAGTCAGCATCATGGACCTAATCGAGAAGGCCGCTGTTGGAGACGAAGCAGACAGCACAACGCTGATGAATTTGGTCATGCAGTTCCGAAAGGTCTGCAACCACCCGGATTTGTTCGAGCGCGCGGAAACGAAATCACCATTCTCTGTCGCGCACTTCGCTGAAACCGCCTCCTTTGTCAGAGAAGGCCAGAATGTCGATGTGGCTTACTCAACTCGCAACCTGATTGAGTATCCGTTGCCCCGTCTGCTCTGTGGATCTGCTGGTCGCGTCGATGTTGCGGGACCCGACAATGCGTACGCCGGCTTCCGTGGGAAGTATCTTAACCACATGATGAACATCTTCACTCCTGATAATATTAAGCAGAGTGTTCGGGACAACGGGGCATTCTCTTTCCTGCGATTTGTAGATACATCCCCGGGTGAGGCCTACGAGCAGTCACATTCCGGTGTCTTCGAACGGACTGTCCGCCGCCGTGGACAAACAAACAGGCTGGCCCGGCTCAAGGTTGTTTACGAAGATGACAAGACAGCCGCCTCAGCCCTTCCGCATACATTGTTCAACGTTGTCGATCGCAACGATCGTCATGCAGTGAGCGAGGTTGCGGCTGAGGGCTACATGCGGGATTTGATGACCGTTTCCCAGTCTACGTTTGAGCGAGAGGGTCTTTCTCTGATTGAGCCATCTGCCACCCCCGCAGCGTCGGCGCCTCCAATCACCATCACGAGTTCGAGCCAGATCCCTATATATGAGGCCAGAGACAGCTTCTTTAATATTTCCGTGCGCCATGCTTTGTACGGCGTTGCCTCGAAGCAGGTGGAGCAGCAGATTGTGGAAAGAAAGCTGGATCCCACACCCTACTCGCTGCAGCCCATGCTACCTAAGCCACTTTCCACCAAGGGCCGATACACGCATATTGAGGTACCGTCGATGCGTCGCTTCGTCACGGACTCCGGTAAACTGGCCAAGCTGGACGAACTCTTGCGCGAGCTCAAGGCCGGTGGACATCGTGTGCTACTGTACTTCCAGATGACACGTATGATCGACTTGATGGAGGAGTATCTGACCTACCGCAATTACAAGTATTGTCGATTAGATGGAAGCACCAAGCTGGAGGATCGTCGTGATACTGTGGCGGACTTCCAACAGCGTCCGGAAATTTTCGTATTCCTTCTATCCACGCGTGCGGGTGGTCTGGGAATCAACCTCACGGCAGCCGACACGGTCATCTTCTACGATTCGGACTGGAACCCTACCATTGATTCTCAGGCCATGGACCGAGCTCACCGTCTGGGTCAGACGAGGCAAGTCACGGTCTACCGCCTCATCACTCGTGGCACGATTGAGGAGCGGATTCGGAAGCGGGCGTTGCAGAAGGAAGAGGTCCAGCGTGTCGTCATCACGGGTGGTGCCGCTGGTGGAGTTGACTTCAACACGCGCAATCGGGAAAGCCGGACCAAGGACATTGCTATGTGGCTGGCGGACGATGAGCAGGCCGAGCTTATCGAACAGAAGGAAAAGGAAGCCATGGACCGTGGAGAGGTGTTTGGTGCCAGTAAAGGTGGGAAGAAGGCGGCTCAGAAAAGAAAGAGAGATATCACGCTGGATGATATGTATCATGAAGGTAAGGCGTCCTCCGATCCCATTTTCTAACCATTGACTAACGGGGGCTTTCCTAGGCGAGGGCAACTTTGACGATGCCAGTGCCAAACCCTCGGGCGCCGCGACTCCGGTGTCCGCCGCGGATAACATTGGGACGCCCTCGGCCACACCCATTCCCAAGCGAGGACGTGGACGCGGGACTGGCAAGGGCACGTCGAAACGGGCGAAGACGACGAAAGAGCGACTGCGTCTCATTGACGGCGATGGGGGCCTCGGACCCAGCTAACCCAGCCTACGAGGACTCTTGCACGATGAGATGGAATGACGGCGTTGGGATATTTACTACCTTCCTTTCTTTTCTTATTCACCTGTGATGTTGTTTGAAGCTTTACACACTTATTGGGGACTTTTACACCGCATGGTGGTTCACTTTGTTGTTTGTTTTTCCATGTTTCCTTTCGCCCCAGTTGCGGATTTTACTGTCCGAACTATGTATTGTATTAACAGGATGCATTTGGTGGTGTATGAAAATATTTGCACCGGGTGGTTATTCCCTGGAGATAATGAGCAGAGGAGGGGAAATCGGGCAAGATTACGCGAGACCAAAAAAAAGAATTGGATGGTTGAAAGGACTTTACAGAAAAAAAAGAAGTCAGACCGAAGATGATGAGGGAGGCAATGGCATGATAGATCTGTTGTTGTTCCGAGGGTGGAGTGGAGGGAGTGCGTGTGGGGTAGGTCTCTAGGGGGGGGAGTGACTGTTGTTATGTTTTCTTCTTTTCGCTGACTACTCGGATTTACCCCTTCAATGACTATTTGTACTTCTGACTGTGGAGATTGGGATTTTTGATGTTTGCTTTGCTTACTGAATGGACGAATGAATGCAGTGGCCTGAACTGGCTGCTAATCCAGTGAGTGACCAAGAAGGGAATAGAATGCGCCGGGCGTGGGGCGGAAAAGTAGCCGAGTTCCAGCCGGCCTTTTACGGTGTAAATCCCGTGACCGTGCCGTGACCGTGCTGTGACCATGCCGAGACCATTTAGATACACATACTCCGTACGGAGTACTAGGTAGTTAGTTACCCACGCATTAGTTCTTAGTCATCTTCAAGGTTCCGAGTCTCCCTCTCCGAACCGGACCCGAGAGCCAATCAGTGGCCGTACAATCGTCAGCCGCGGCCCAGTGAGCGCGTTCCCACTTGAGTAAGCCGCCAAGTCGCGGCCGATTTCCCTCTTCAGCGGACCAGCACCGCAAATCCCGTCCTTTGCCCAGCCGATCGAATCTTCTTTGCCCCCTCAGGCTTAGACTACTCCCTCCCACTTAAGACTCACTCTTACTTAAAACTTATCAACTCCACCTCTCCTCGTACATCTCTACTTTTATTTTCTCTTTTTCCTTACCCCAAGTCTATCCCCCCCCCCCACTCCCACTATCACCACAAGGGGATCTTTCCTCCTTCTTTCCAATTGAGAGTGGTCTTCGCCCTTTGGCCGTACCGCACCCAATGGAGTCGCTTCTCCAGCAGTCTCGAGCCATGTGCCCGTTCCTCAAGCGCACCTCCCCGTCCACTCTGCGCACTCTGTCCACCGCCACTCGTCCCAGCATCAGCCCTGGAGGCGGCACTATGTCAAACCTCCAGGTTCTGGCCCGTCGCTGCCCCGTCATGAGCAAGGCTCTGGCCGTCCAGAGCGCCCGTTTGGCCAACACCAAGCGCTTCACCTCCGGTGTCGCCGGCATGGATCCCAGGTACTTCCGCCCGGTTCCCACCAAGCGGGCCTTGCATTCGACCTCGGGCAATGGCGCGGACGTTGCTCCCAATGTCTACAAGGACTCAGAGAGAGGTACTTCGTACACTTCCCATTTTCAGACACATTGTACTGACTCCATTGCTTCGTAGTCGACCCCGCTTTCCCCGGTGTCAAAGGCCGCTTCGAAGCCCCCAGCGGCGCGACCGTCACCGGTCCCCGCCCTGATGCCCCGAAGGTTGCGCCCTTCGACTACAACGCTTTCTATAACGGGGAGCTGGACAAGAAGCACAAGGACAAGTCGTACCGTTACTTCAACAACATCAATCGTCTGGCCAAGGAGTTCCCCCGTGCCCACACGGCCTCTCAGGAGGAGAAGGTGACCGTGTGGTGCTCCAACGACTATCTCGGTATGGGCCGCAACCAGGAGGTTCTAAAGAGCATGCACCAAACACTGGATACTTACGGCGCTGGTGCGGGTGGTACGAGAAACATTTCGGGACACAATCAACATGCGGTAGCCCTCGAGGGCACTCTCGCCAAGTTGCACAACAAGGAGGCCGCCCTGGTCTTCAGTTCCTGCTTCGTTGCCAACGACGCTACCTTGGCCACTCTGGGTAGTAAAATGCCCGACTGTGTCATTCTCTCCGACAGCCTCAATCACGCCTCCATGATCCAGGGTATCCGCCACTCCGGCGCCAAGAAGATGGTGTTCAAGCACAATGATCTGGTCGACTTGGAGACCAAGCTGGCCTCTTTGCCTCTGAACGTCCCCAAGATCATCGCTTTCGAGTCTGTATACAGTATGTGCGGTTCGATTGCCCCCATCGAGAAGATCTGTGACTTGGCCGACAAGTACGGGGCGATCACTTTCTTGGATGAGGTGCACGCCGTTGGCATGTACGGCCCCCACGGTGCGGGTGTCGCGGAGCATCTCGACTATGACGTCTACGCCTCGCAGGACACCGCCAACCCACGCAGCACCAAGGGCACCGTGATGGACCGCATTGATATCATCACCGGTACCCTGGGTAAGGCGTACGGCTGTGTCGGTGGATACATTGCTGGTTCCGCCGCCATGGTGGACACCATCCGTTCTCTGGCCCCGGGATTCATCTTCACCACCTCCCTGCCTCCTGCCACCATGGCCGGAGCGGACACTGCCATCCAGTACCAGGCCGAGTACAAACGCGACCGCGTCTTGCAGCAGTTGCACACCCGGGCCGTCAAGGAATCCCTGAAGGAGTTGGACATTCCCGTGATCCCGAACCCGTCCCACATCATCCCCCTCCTAGTCGGCGACGCCGAGGTCGCCAAGCAAGCCTCGGACAAGCTTCTGGAGGAACATGGCATTTACGTCCAAGCCATCAACTACCCCACCGTCCCGCGGGGTGAAGAGCGACTCCGCATCACCCCCACTCCGGGCCACGTGAAGGAACACCGCGACCACCTGGTTCAGGCGCTCCAAACCGTCTGGAACGATTTGGGCATCAAGCGCGCTAGCCACTGGAAGGCTCAGGGCGGTTTCGTCGGCGTCGGCGTCGAAGGAGCCGAGGCTGCGAACCAGCCTATCTGGGAGGACGCCCAGTTGGGTCTGCAGGAGGGTGAAGACTTGGAGACCGCCGTCACCCGGGAGTTCCAGGACGCGGCAGCTGAGGCGCTGCTTGCGCAGGCCTCGGCCCGGATGCAGACCGCCGCCGCCGGGATCCGTCCTGCCGCCGCCGTGGCCTCAGGCATTCCTGTTGGCGTCGCCGCTTAGATCCATGTCTTGAGAACCCCCTGAATGTTTCAGAGAAACATAGTCCTGTGGATGTATGGTGTAATCATTTGTTCCACGTCCATTCCTTTTTATTAACAATGCCATCACCTCATATAATGCTGGAGGATCTCCTAGCATCAGTTATATCTTCTTCTACCCCTCCTAAACCAATCCAATAGGTCAGTCATATAATCGCGGTTTTGATTAAGTCTCAAGAAGCGTCTGGGAATTCCAAGTATTTGTGACAGCCGGATACCAAGGAATTTAGTCCCGTCGAGCGGCGACCGCTTAAAGTTCTAGATCCTTAACAACGATTGTCATCTGTTTTCGTCCTCCATTGATTCGTGTGTCCGTCCTTGTAGCAGTAGTAAGCATACAGATTCTATGAAATTTGAGGACTTTCCTCCGCACGAAGATAGGTGGGACAGGGTTGAACAGGGGCGAAGGCATCCTTCTCGTTGAGTGAGTGACCGATACGACCCGGAGTATATAAACATCCCCCACCCCTGTGGTAAATATACCGTGTATCCCCCCATTACACAAACGAATAAGCAGCGATGAATGGAAATGCATCCCCTATGATAACAAACTCAAATCTTCATCTTCTCTTCGCTACCGATTAACTACTACCTATACAAACGAATTGAAATACAAATATACACATCACAAGACATAATATGTCCTAACGCCAGTTGGAAATAAGCCCGAGGAAAAAAAAAAAAAAAAGACCAAATGCTTTTTTTTTGGTTTGAGGACAACAACAGTTATTTGACAAGCTATGGTTATCGGGAGACGGAGGAGTATTTCCACGTCCACACGCCCCTCTTCCATACTCTTTCCACATCCACACAGCGTCATACTATCCTAATCACCACCACCCTTCTTTCAGATCTTACACACTGGTTCGTCTCCATTTTTGCCTTGGATTCACTAGCGTCTCTTGCCACCCCCGCGGCTCACCTTAGGAAACTCCACGGGAATGCGCAGGCGCGCCACGCGGCGGGCAGCGGCCTCGGCCTTGCCGCCCTTGATGCCCCACTTGGCGAACTCGGACTCGCGGGGCTTGTCGACGCGGCAGCCCAGCTCGCGGAAGTACTGCAGGATGACGGGGCTCTCGAGGTGGAGGTCGTCGCGCAGGTCGGCGGGGTCGGTGGCCAGCTCGTTGGGGGCGTTGCCGCCCTGGGAGCTGCTGCCGCCGTCCTTGGCGGGCTGGGGCGGGATGTGCAGCGAGAGGGCGCAGATGGTGGTGTGGAGGAGGGTGACGTCGTTGCGGGAGAGGGAGCCGCCGGCGCCGGGAGCGAAGCGGCGGCGGACGGCGTCGATGATGGGGTCGGCGAGGGATTCCGATGTACTGGTACTTGTAGTGGAAGGGGAGGTGCCGCCGGCGAGGATGGTGCGGAGCTCGTCGCGCGGCGGGAGGCGTTTGCTGCCAGGGCCGGCGCCCTTGGGGTCGCGCTTGAGGTGGCGGTTGAGCTCGAGGAGCAGCAGGATGAAGCGCAGGATCTGGAGGTGGGTGGTGTTGCCGGACTGGATGACGGCGTCGACGCGCCGCGAGACGTACCGCGACGTCGTGACCACCGGCTCGCCCGCGTTCGCCGTCGCGATCCAATCCTGCACGCCCGGCAGCTGCCGCAGCGTCGACTCGCCGTTGGGCACCAGCTCCGCGAGCGGGTATACCTCGGCCGGGTGCGAGGCGTCCAGGTGCGGCGTCGGGATCGGCTTGTTGGCCTGCACCTGCGCCTGCACCTGCGCCTGCTTGGCGGCGATGTCACTGACCCCCTCCGTTGGCATCGAGGACAGGATGGCGGATTCTGCGGCCGAGGCCGCCCCCGAGGGCAGGTTGGAGAGTTGCGCGTTCTCGGCCAGGGATTGCGCCGCTTTGCGGGATTGTTTGGTTCCGAAGGTGTTGGTAAGTTCGGTGCGTTGGGCGCGGAGGGTTTGCTGGAGATGTAAGACATTCATCGTTAGTTTGGCTTTCTTTTTTCGCCCAGGGAAAAAAAGGTGGTGTCTCCATCTGCAGAGACATGATCACCTAACCAGCGCACAAATTAAACTGGCATAGGCATAAACCAAAAAAAAAGGTATTAGAACTCACCAGCTCCTCCTCCTCCTCGCTCTCCTTCTCCTCCTCTTCATCAATGGAGCGCAGCTTCCGCACCGCACCGCGCAGCGTCATCTTCCGCACCTCGACGAACTGCCATGTCTTATTCTCGGGATCGACCACGGCGACGTAGTGCTTCAGCTGGGAGTCGGCATCCTCCTCGGCCTCGCGACCCACAAAGTCCAGCTTGGGGTGTTCGGACGACTGGAGGAGCAGCTCCGACGAGACGATCCCCTTGTTGCGCGTCGAAGCGGAGGAAGTCTTGCTGCGGGTTTTCAGGTAGGGTTTGAGCCGGAGATTGCGGGGGGCGTTAAGGCCGGGGGTGGTCACTATTTTGTTGCCGCCATGTGTGGATTAGCATGTATAGTCTAATTTATTGCTTCCTGGGAAGAGTCGAGCTTTTTTGGGATATATAGGCGTTTACCAATGACCGGAGCGAGTTCGCTATCATCCTCCACCACGCTCGAAGCTAGAGGGGGCAGATCTTGGATTTCCAGCGCGGGCTTCTTGCTAGGCCGCTCATGGCGATCAGAGGCGCGCTTGCGCTTCTTTTCGACCTTGTCGGAGACCATTGTGCCAAAAGATGTCCAAAGGGTATCAATCAGTCTGGGGCAGGTCGAAAATGAGCGGACTTCCGTGTCTCGTCGACCGGCGTGGATTTTGATATACCGGAGGAGGAAAAAGTCACAGGAAAAAAAGTTGAAGGCGGTCAGTTGGTCCCGAAATGGAAGGCGGAGAGAGACTACTATCTCAGCAGGGCGCAATTGCGGTGCAGATCACGGGGACACACAAATGATTAATTAGTCTATCACCATTTGTCTGGCCAGCAGCGTCGGATGGTCAATTCTGAAGAAGATCGACAGAGTGCGACAATCGGTACACTATCGCACCGACTTTGATTTTCTACTGTACTTTATTTCTTGGTTTTACGTAGTAGAAGTAGCGAAAGAGATTGCGTTTGAACTTTTTGTGATTGGAATAAATTCTCAAAGAAACCTCTCCACGACCCGAAATTCCCTTGGTTTTTTTTGTTTGCCAGTGAAATCTCGAGACATGAGATATTGACCAGTTCCCCATAGAAGCTCAAAGACATCGGCGTATGATGATGAGAAGTACAGAATCAACAAAACCGATCCCTTTCCAACCCTACCAAACACATTTGCCCATCTCGAAGGATGGATGAGACGCGCCGCAGAGAACGCATCCCTTCCCCTGCCCGGCCACAATAGCGCGAGAGAAGCCGTCGTGAGAAATCGAAGACGTTTTCGAACCCGATGGATTGGAACGGAATTTTCGAAGTTCCATTTGTTGAACGGCGGATTCCGAATTCGAGTGGTAGATAAAACCAGGACAGGGCCCTTGATCCGAGATGGTGGAGAGAAGGGAACCACGTTGAACGATCATAAAAGGTTTAAAATCATCATCGTGACATCGTTGCAATTCTTAGGTTTCGATTGTCGTGTTCAGCGTTCAACCTGAGTCTTCACATGCAGAGCTGAGATGGAGGGGGCGAGTAATTTATTTGCTGCGATTACACATGTCAGCCATTGCTTTGACTATTGGACTATGATGGCTATCGAATTGAACTCACCTGCGGGCACGCATCTTTCTGCGCTTGCGCTTAAGGCGACGGACGCGCTTCTTTCTCCACTTGGCTCTCATCTTCGTAGATAGGACTAGAAGATGGCTGTTAGTTGTTGTCTAACCCGAACAATAGGGGGTCGGAGTAGTATACTCACACTTCTGCGAGGATGAAAGAGATGGTTGGAAGAAAGACGGAGAACGGCCGCGGTTGAGCTTCTTGTGTGCGCCGTGGCTGACTCAGCATCCAATGCCGCTAAGGGCTCGCTAGTGCTCTGATGGTTGTGATTGGCTACGCACTGGCCACCCTTTGCTTTACCGAGACCGCAGGGAACCACATTGGCTTTCACTCGTGACATCAACACTCCCGCCCGGTGTAGACTATATCCCAGCATCCTTTGACCGGGGGGCTTCTCGTTGGCTCGTTAGGCCGACAGAGTACAGATTCACTCGAACTACGATTGTATGAGTACGACTGTGTGTGATTGAGGTTCTCATTACTCATGCTTCATTATGCTTCAAGGTTCATAATCAGTAGGACCACGCTGTGCTCGGTCAATAATGCTGCATGCAAGACCATATCCTCCGCCTCACCGCTCTCCACTACACCCATAGTCAATGAAAAGCCCTAGCCCTATCTGTCTACTTCGTGATTGTCGGTGGAAATGACCAGATAAATGTCTATCCCAGATTGCAACAAGCAGTTCCCGCTTGTTAAGAACATCTTTTCTAGTACGCGTATCGGTACGTCACTGCCAGATCACCCTTGATTTCTTCCTCGTCGTCGAGCAGTGTCGACGGGGTGTTACTGGCCATAATCCGGTCACGTCGCTTGTTTGCAGCCCAGATCGCTGCGAAGTAGACAATGCAGCAGGCGGCCGAGAAGCACTGGAAGGACAAACTGATGATGTATCCATTGCGGTAGAGAGGTGCATCTTTCGCTAGAAAGGCATAGGTCGAAATGAACCCCCCAACTAGAGATTGCTGTCAGCTGCATGAAAGATCCTCTGGTTGCCCTGGCCCACTTGAATTTTGGGCTACTTACTGTTCCCAAACCCTATCTGCCATGCTGTTCCTACACTGCGTCGCCGATGGCCGCCTAGGTTCATAGCATACCAGCAGACAACCACGGGCATTGCGCTGTAGGTGCCACAGGTGACCATGAAAAGAGCGCCATACTGAACGTTCCTATGAGCTACACCGTGGACATTCAAGAGGATCCCGTATCCCGCCATGGTGACCAACATAGGAACCAAGGTGAACGCAAACCGATGCTTGAATTTATCGGATAGAATCGCAATGATCATTGAGAAGACGAAAGCGGCCGCCCATGGTGGGATCGAGTACAGCTGCGTTTGGATGGCTGCATCATACGTTAATGCACGGTGTCAATCCGTCAGCCAAGGCTGGTCACTATACCTCCGTATCCATAGGTCTTGATGATAGACGGTGCAAAGTAGGCATACCCTGGAACTGTTAGCGAAGTCCTTTCAAACATGTGACAGGCTTTGCCGGGGCTAGCTCAATACTACATACCATAGGCCGAGACGACCTGACCAAAGTACATAAACCCGCCAATAAAGATTTTGTCTACATCTCCTAGTCAGCGTCCTTCCGAACTAATAAACGCGGTACTTACAGTCCTTGAACACATCCAGCACGTCTCGGAAACCGATATGGGCATTGTGTCCGGCCTTGCCCACATCCTGAGCCAGCTTTGCCTGGATGTACCTTCGCTCCTCATCATTGATCCATTTGACATCCTCTGGGAACCCAGGAATGATGAAGTACCATACGAAGGAAACCACGCACGTGAGAACGCCTTCGATTATGAAAACCCATCGCCAGCCGCCGTAGCCTCGCAGGCCAGCCATCTTTCCGAGACCGCTAGCTAAGAGGCCACCAAAGGCACCCGCCAGGGTGGTGGAGCCGAAGAAGAAACTGAAACGCTTTTGCGCTTCGCTTCGCTTATACCACGTACCGAGCAAATAGAAGCCTTGCACGTAAGTTGCAGATTAGTCCGGTGGCCAAATACGCACAGCGACAAAGACAGCACTTACACCCTGGGAACATGCCCGTTTCGAACATCCCTAAGACCTGTGTATCAGCCTACATTGCATCCCAACAACGAACATGAGAGCAATTGTACCCAGGAACCAGCGCGTGGTTACCAATCCACCCCAGCTAGTCACCAATCCTTGACAAATCATGACGAGGCCGAAACCGAACATGCACAGGGACACTATGAGCATCGACGACATATCAGCCAATGTCCACACCACAACTATGCACAGTTCCAGATACTCACACCACACATGCGGCTTCAGCTTCTTGAGTAGCAGGTTGGACGGGATCTCGAAGAGCACATATGGCACGAAGAAGATGGTCAATGCAGTGTTGTACTTGGTGCCGGTGACAATGTTGAGATCCTTCTGCAGTCCGAGCACCGCAGCGTTACTGATGTTCACCCTGTAGCCGTCCACCGTCAGTGAACCTATCACGGACCTATCTTCCGGGACGTAGGGACACATACCGATCCAAGAAAGCCAGCAAATACATTATGCACAGGCATGGGACGATGTGCCAGTCAATCTTGGCCATCAATTTGCGCTCGGTCGTGGAAGTCAGCGGGGGCAGGCCCGCGGCGGACGTCTGGATCTGCTCCTCGGTCTTCATCTCGGTGAAATAAGGGGACGGTGACCCTACGTTGCACATAAAGGTGTTAAAGCACTGGATCGTGCTGCGCATGAACCGTATGGGAGGACATACCTGGATCGCGACCCATTGTGCTTGATATCACTTTGAGTACAAGCTTCAGAGACCGGGTCCTAAGGATAATTTGAGTAGACACTGAGCTTATGAATCAATCTGCAGTAGTGCTTGCTTTCTTTTCAAGACTGATGAAGTAAGGTGGTCAGGACTCTGGGAGTGACGGTCTGTGTGCGTAATTCACTCGGTAAAGATGAGTACAATCGAGTCTCATGGGCATCAACAGGGAGGAACAGAGAAGCGCCGAATTAGGGGATTTCAGAGTCTATTTGTGGAGAGTAAGCAGAGGAGAAGAGGGGAAGGAAAAAGTCAGCTCAGCTGTGTTAACACCCAACTACTCAGCTACAGCTCACTAGGTATCAAAGATGCAATGAGAGCCGACAGTGCCAGCCAATCCAGCCCGTCACCTGAGCCGGCACTCAGTACCGACCTGCGACTTGAAGCTCGGCTGATGAATTGGACTTGCGGCCTGACGGTCGACTTTATGCTAAACTCGCTGGAATCTACATTATCAGGCATCTACTATATGAGCTTAACATACAGAAGACTGCTGCGGGAGATAACCTTGTCAATTCCGGCGAGCATTCTACAGGACATGTTTCCGGATATGGCGTTTTCTTCATAGATACAAACCCCAGATATGGAAAGTCAATTGAAGCGGGAAAAGCCTTCAGCTCAACCCTCACCCTCGGCAAGTACAATGGCTCTAGAGCAGTCTATCAGTCTGTCCGGTAAGTTGTGGCCGAGTTCAGCTTTAGAAGTAGAAAGAATTGACTAGTATTGAAGTGGACTAGTTAGTTACCCCATACTCAGATGACTAAGGCAGCTGCCAGGCGGGTCTACTCGCTTCTCCCCGCATTTTATGAAATCTACTACGTATGTATGAATGGATTCCAGACGTGACCCCTCCTAGGCATGGAAGTAGGTTGCGACGATCAAAATTTCTTTCAGTTTGAGGAGGTGATCAGGCTATGATTGGTTTCCCGATATCGTACATTTGCCCAATTTCAGCGCCAGGTTATTCCGCCCTCTATCCGCTAGTCATCTCCGGTTCTAGTGACATGTCAAGGAGAATAGATACATTCGTGGTATTTGCTTAATCGCCGGTCGTGCGAGTATATATAGTAGAGGAAGGTCGTTAAATGTTCATTCAGGGAGCAACATCTTCGTAGAAAGCGGGAATCTCTCCAATTCATGCAGTTAGTCCTGTCGAGGGTTGATCCTCTACAGCCTTGCCCCACGCCGTCTCGAAGGTTGAGTCATCTGCAACTGTCAGACTCGACATCGATTGAAGAGCCTGGTCCTCAATGTCCTCCGTGTCAACCATGACGGGGCCAGGGGAAGAGGGCGTGTCGGAGCTTGCTTCTGCCGGCAATCTCATCGACTGCGTTTTCGCATCAGACTCGAGCAGCTCAGCATCGAAGTTGGAGCTGTACACGACGGCCGCAAAAGCTTCCAGCTCCCGAACTCCTTGTTCCATGGCATTAAGGTACAAGTTGGGAGGCGCAGTGCCGTTGCCGATCACATGGGCTTGTCGAGCCAATACGGCCAGCACATTTGCCAGCTTAGTCTTCGGTTCTGAGCTGACTGCCCCAGGGACGACCGTAGCAACGGAAGTGAATGACTGAGGGGCAGGCGTGTGCGATGCTTTAAAAGCTTCGGCTGCGCATTGCTGGATCAAGGTTTCGAAGCACTCGTTGTTGAGAAGCAAGACAACGCGGGTAAATGTCGGAGAGTCAATGAGGTCAGCTGTCTCGTCCAACAGGTGCCGTAGTGTCGCAGTGGTTTGAGGGGTCGAGGGTTCCGTCACTCCTAGAACACCAGACTCTTCCAGTAGATGATCCTCCTCCTCTCTCGGGGGAAGCAAATAGGATAGCCACTTCCGGTGTCTAAATGGTCAATGACATGCCAGCAACATATGACAAGAGTCAAACCTACTTTCTGTCTTCCTCATTATCACCCTCCACTTTCCTTCGGACTTGCAGTGTCAATTCTGCCAGCTTGCCGCGCGAAATATCCTCTCTGGGGTTGCACGACCCGAATACTTCCGTCACAGCTGATTGCACCTCCTCCATCAATTGCTTCCAGCCACGGTGAAGAAGCCACCAACTGAAGGCCAGATAGCGCCGGTTGGTTTCGAAGTCATTACCCAGAGTCTGTGTAAGGTCATCATCATCATGATCTTCAAGTCTGATAGTCGATGCATCCGCTGGGGGTGTGGCCATAGAAATCACGCTAGACAGGTAATTTCGACGACCCAGAAGGTTAAGTTGAATACGAGTGAAGATAGTCAGTAAGGATAGGGTGTAGATCAGCGTAAAGGACCTAGTGATAGCTGCCATGAAACCGTCAGCTCCCGAAATTGGCCAAAGCACAGCCGAAAGCAACTTACAGGTGATCTTAACCTCATTCCACAACTGAGTCTTGTTGCGCTTTGGCGACGGCGAGGGTGCGGCACCCTCAAGTGTGGATTCTCCTAGCTGACTTGCGCGGACAAAGCCATCGCTCTGGAAGCTGGAGAGGCTTCGGCGATCATCGTCTGTGATACTCGGCGAGATTGAGCTTAGATCAGAGCTTGTTCCCTCCGCCGTGCCGAGGCGAGCTAACCGCTCCGCGCGCTTCTTTTGTAGCTCTTTCGTCAACTCCTCAACCGGCAATGCCTCCAGTATATCCTCCGCTGCAGTGGGTAAGAGTGCTAGGATAGTGTAGGTACAGTCGGTTTGGTTCTGTTCGAAGCGTCTCCGTAGGCTATATCGGGGCAGGGCTCGTCAGCGACCACTTCGGAGCACACGAGCACATCGCAACACGGCCCGAGCTCTTTCATCAGCGAAGAGATCACATACTTCTCTCGAGCAATACGATCACTTCCCATACGCTCGCTTGCTTCCGAGATCTTGCCCAGTACATATTGACCGGCAAGATAGCCCGCGCCGATAACGCCTGCTCCGATTGCAAGGCCCTTGCGATTGCGCTGGAACCAGCGCTTAGTGGCACTGATCATGGTGGAGTGGAGCGATGATCGGGGGCGTCAGCAGGAGATTGTTGGGGGAAGTGGGAGAAGATCAGATCATCCTATGTAAGAAGCAGGAGTAGAAGAGAAGAGAGCAGAGGGTGTTTTGACAGGAAAGAATTTAAAAATGAAGGATCAGAATGGTAAGAGGCGTGAAAAGGAAAGCAACCGGAGGGGGGGGGGGGGGGGAATGGGAGGGAGAGCTGGCACACGGTCGGCGAGTAGAGAGAGGGAGGACAATCCGGCCTCGGCTAAACCAGTTCGGCGTATGATAACAGCTTGTGTCCAGCTTCAGAGTTGTGTGTGATCTTCACTGAGATGGGTCTAGTATTTTTGAATAATTGACTAACCTATTGGCAACTTACTGTGTACTATAAAGAGCATGTAATGTATGAGTACTAATCTCGATTCAATCTACTTACCTGTCCATTCAAAAGGTTGCATCATCGCTGCTGCTGCTGCTGCTGCTGCTGCTGGATCCTTATCCGGCCTGAGAACTGGTGCCTGGGCTGTCAGGCTGACCTGACCTGTACCGTACCTGAAAGACAACCTTGAATTGTCATACATAACCTCCAAAGATACGGCGCATCAATCGCAGTCCTTGTATAGCATGGTCTACAAATGCTTCATGTAAGGTAGACTTGACTCAAAATAGAAGAGAACACAAAGAAACAATTAAATCAGGAGAGAGGTGATGTTCAGGGAAGGAGAGTAGAGAATCAGCCAGCGTGGGGTAAGATTGATTAGGTATGCCGATTACAATGATTTTACATACCAAGGATGACTGACTGGAACTGACTTTCCCATTATCTCCTCCTCCTGCTTCCCCTCCACTCTTTCAATGCACCCACTCTCTCTCTCTCTCACTACTACTACACCTCCTCCCAATCTTCCCCCTACATCCTCCATGACCTTTTCATACATATTCAAACTCAGTATATCTTGCTACTGGCAGAACATGCACCCCTCATGAACCTTGCTCCATGTGAGACTTCCCGGCGATCATAAGACAATTGCCCCCCCTCCAATCCAACCCCCGATCCCCAACGACAGCGTCATCGCCCTCCAGCGGCCCTTACAACCCCGGGTTTCAATCATCATCCCCCCCCCCATCCCCCTCCTCCAAAAACACACCGCATACTCTCCACCTTGCACTGCACAGCGCGGAGAAAGATAGAACTTCGCCCTCGGTATTCGGAGAAGCGATAGTCTGAACGGTATTATCCAACCCGACGAGCACAACACCCTCCCCGCGCCCGCCATTTCCGGGCCCCGGAACGAGTTTCTAGGGAAGATGGAGCCCCGCAAAACGCCTCCGGAGTACTTCCTTGAGATCTTTGCCGACACCACCACCGTTCGAGACGTCTTAAAGGGTCAGTTCACCGTTGTCCAATCCTCCTAAACACATCAGAGAAACCTTTCCATTAAATCTTCAATTAACCAACACTTTCCCTCAAAACCCCTTAGGTATCCTCAACCTGATCTTCTTCCACCGATACTTCCCCTCCATTCGACCCACCACCTTTGACGTTCTAGACTTCACTCTCCCCGCCATCAACGACGTCGACCTCGAAACTCTCATCGACTCGCGCATCAGCTCCCTCGTCCGCCAACACTCGGCAACCAGCGGCGGCGGCATCCACGAAGGTGGTGGCGGCGGCGGCGGTGGTGGTAGTGGCAGTGCCGGGGGCGGCGTCCGCGGCCGCATCGCAGTGGAATTCTACGAGAAGCGACGCCGACGCTCCGGCATCTGGTTTGGCGGCCTAGCGGGCAAAGGTGAGGAGGAAGTCTGCTGGGAGGTCTGGAATCTGGACGTGACTATCGCCACGCCACGGACTGAATCTGGTATGTATGGCATATATAGACTTCACGCCGGTGGACATTTCCCCTCCGACATCTGGCATTTTCCTTCCTCGGCTCTTCCCC